GTCTTTGCATATGGGGGGCCTCTTTCTATCTCTCTATATACAACTAGGAGCTCTGTATTTCTCTCTCAACCTTTCTTGATCCAAACCTAACAAAAAAAAAATAAATCAAATGTTCATATGTGGGAGTGGAAGCTTCAACCACCACGACGAGTACGAACACGAGGCGTACGGCAGCCCGTGCTCCACCCCCAACAAGCGATCCAAGAAGAGCTCGAGCTTCTGCAAGATCATCGGCAAAGACAACAACAATAACAAGAACCGGTTTGCCGATAGAGGCCTCGACAAATTCTACGCGCTCCTAGCCGAGCTCGACACCAAGAAGCAAAAGATCTACACGCAAGCTGGCGCGGAGGACATATCCTTTGTCCGATTCGTCTACACCAACGACTCCGACCAAGTCAAGCCAATCGTCGTCAAGGTCAACAAGGAGAAGAAAAAAAGGCCCGACCATCGGGCCTCGACCGGTAAGCCCATCAAGAAAAGCACGTCGGATATTAGCCACGCGGGCCCCGAGCCAAAGAATGTGGCTTTAGAGATTGTTCCGAATGAGAAGAAGCTGCAGCCGAGGAAAAAGAAGAGGTTCTTGAGATGCAAAGGGAGTTTCAAGATTGATAGATTGAGGGAGCCTTATCTGTACTTGCTTGTGATTATAATGATGGTTTTGCTGTTTTTGGCGATTTATGGACGCTCGTTTGCGATTTTGTGCACGTCCATCGGGTGGTACTTGGTGCCGAGTGTCGTGGGAGGGAGCTCGTCGTCCGATTTATCGAGCGAGAGGAAACCGAAGAGGAAGAAGGAGTATGTGAGGAGGCAGAGTGAGAAGAAGTTTGATGTACAGAGTGAAGGGCCATCTTCTCCTAAAAGTGTCATAAATGGGCTAATGTAAAGTAAATAAATTTAGCTCAATAACTTGAAGATTGATTAAATTGAAGCCTTTCTGAAGCTTTTGATCCTCATTGTGATGTTTTTTATTTATTTATTTATTTTTTTTTTTAAGAATTTAAGTTGATACAGACAACATTGGATGATGTTGTGGATGTAAATTGTTTGTTTAAGAAACATCATCATGAGGGAATAATCCATGTGGAGATGTTATGGTGATGTACATTTCGTAGTACATTTATGGTTCGTTAGTTCGGATTTCAACATCACACAACAAACATGACAAAAAGTGACATCGTTTGGAAGGCAACAAACAAATAGTACCGTCAATCTGTACAAATTTGTCGAACAAATTACCCAAAAGAAAAAATCTTAGTACCGTCACTGAAAGCTTTGAAGTGGGGCTGAGAGCTTCAGCTCGTGCGCAGCTTGAAACGAGTCTGCTGCTCTTTGCACAGACCCTTCCATCTTATAAACCAGCCCAAGGTTGAACCAAGCATCGTGGCTCGTGGGCTCCAAACGAACCGCGTGCATCAACAAGCTTTTTGCAATGTGAAGAGATTGATTATTGCCCGTCTGGATTAGTAACTCGGCTGTCGACACTATACTCGGGACGTAATCTGAATCGATTGATAACGAGACCGAGAATGCAATCATGGCTTCTTTATGCTGCTCTTGGGCTCTAAATAGTCTTCCTGTTGAGTGCCATGCTCGTGGGGAGTAAAATTTAGCTGCCTTAGCTTTTTGTATGCAGATATCCGAGTCTAGCCATAACGCGTGCTTCGAGTATAGTTCCGCCAAATCCAACCATGCTTCGAATGCTTGTACCTCAGATGCATTTTTCTCTGGAAGTTCGTTTGTACCCTGAATTAGAGCAAGCAAAATCCGGTAAGTTTCGATCGCTTGCTTCGGCTGTTCTTTGGCAATCTGAAGCACGGCTTTCAACCTCAGAAGCTCGAGCTGGTCAATACTCTCTGTCTCGTCCAAGCCAACATTAATTAAAGCCTCTGCATCTCTTAATCTCTGTTCGCCCGATGCTATAAGTGCCAACACCTTCCAACTTTTAGCAAAGCTCCCACCACTCATTTTCGAAAACTCCATCACCAGTTCAAAGGCCTGCCCAAAATTCCTCTGCACGGCATTTTCTAGCCCAAGCCACAACTTGATTTCTAAATCCTCACTTTTCCCGATCTGATGACTGTAGTTCAACGAGCTAATCGCGTCTTTATGTAAAGCGGCTCGTCCGTGATCGGAAACCGACTCCCGAGCTGCATTTCCATAGCAAATCCCGAGGAACATATGAGCCCGGCTCAGAATATGCTCGTTTTGGCCTGTGTACGAGTGAATCACTTCACGTGCAAAATTTATCCCCAAGGAGGACTCGTTCGTATCCTCAGCACACAATTTTGCTCCCAACAACAAAGATGCCAAATGGGGCTTGCCATTTTTTCTATTAAAATCTAAGATTTTTTTCAAGAGGTTGAGCGCCGTTTGGTTCTGTCCGGCTGCACTAAAGCAAAGAGCCAGAAAATACCATCTCTCGACTCGGGTGTACATACCTGGAAGAACTTGCTCCACTTGATCGGCCAAAGTCACGTATTGTCCGTTAACTGCAAGCGCGAAAGTTAAATGATCGATAACTTCACGGTCCCACTTAATTTTGCCGTGAAGAATTTTATGCATGAGTATGAACAGGAGAAGAATCGATTCCTCCATGTTGCTTGTTTCGACACCTCCGTGGAGTAATGTTACAGCAAAGTCCTTTTGCATTTTTGCCAGCTGTTCAGGATCCAAGCTCCAAGGCTTTAGCAAAGCCCTTCTATATGCAGCAATGGCTTCGTCTAAGGAGCCAGCCTGTAAGTACAGCTCGGGAAGTAACTCAAGCACTCTGTGAAACATCTCGAGCAACTTTCTGTCATCAGTTATTTCATCGTGTATACCATTAGGCTTAGCCGATTCTACTGTGTCCAAGATAATCTTGCATTCTTTTGCAGCCTCTAAAAAAAATAGCAAAATACACAAATAAATGGAGAAGAAAACACATATAGAAGCCATCTCCTCTGCATTTCAAGATACATGAAACTTGTATTTTAAAAAATTTGTACCTTGAAATCTACCGAGCTCGGCTAGAGATTTAGCTTTAAGTATGATAGCTTCAAGAAGCAGGCTCACAGAATGCAGAGACATTAAACCATCAACAGCCATCGAGCCTCTGCCTCTAGACCGCGACTTTCGAGGACGAGTCCTCTCGGCAATGGCCTTAGACATTCTTGGTGACAAGAGTCTAATTCCAATCCCTTCAAACACTTGAATGGCAGCATCAAAATTACCTCTTTGGTACTCGAGCCTCCCGAGCAATGCTCTCGCTTCCTGAAAATTCACCAATCAACTCTCTAAATCATGAAAAAAAACAAGAAAATCTCATCACAACACAACTCTCTAAATCATGAAACAAGAAAACTTCCCAAAAAACAAACATATCCAAAGCTGTCGTTTTTTTTTTATAATCGAGGCATCAAGGGTGCCGTCCCACACACTAAAAGCAAGGGTGACCCTTGTTGCACCTTAGTGAGATTCCATCCTAAAACCAATTGGTGATGGGAGGAGTAACCCACTCGACATATAAACTAGACTCATTTACCCTATCAAATCAATATGAGACGACTCACAAGTCACATTCAGCAAAGTGCCACAATTGAGAGATTAAGGCAATGAAAACATATAACCATACAAAGGGAAATAGGAATGAGTAAGCAAATTTTTGTTAGAAGACCTCATAATTCAAAGAAAGTGCCTCCTTGAGAGTGGACTCAGCTTCATCTACTTGAGCAGTGACAGTTGTTGATGATGATGAAAACTCACTGAGTGAGAAAGCCCTTGTGGTTAATGACTCTGAAGACTTAGCTGCTGCTGCCTCTTCAAGCTTCAATTGCTCACCAGAACAAGCAAACAACATGATTGAATTTGCCCACACAAAAAAAAAAAGAAAAAAAAAATGATTTTAATCTCAAAACTTGAGCTGTTCTTGGAATCAAGATATTCTAAGCTTCACTAAAAGGCCAAAATAAAATAAAATAAAATAAAATAAGGGACCCCTTTATAGCATAAGTACATAACCAAAAGAAAAATTCTTGAAAGTTTATGTAGAGGTGGCCAGGCAACGGGTTGTGACCCGGTCCGGCCCTAAGGGCCTCCCATGGGTAACCCTTAACCGGCCCCACTAAAACCCAAGGGCCGGCCCGTGAACCAGCCCTGTCCCAGCCCGGTCCCGGCTCGGTCCCGGACTGCCAGGACAAAAATAAAAAAAAAAGGAGAACCGGACACGGGCTGTAATGCCCGGTGCCGGTTCTTGGAACCGGCACCCTACGGGCCGGGACTTGAAACAATTGACTTTGAAATCTTGTAAAAAGGAGAATGTGGGGTGTGGTGTGGTCAATTCATGGACTTGAAAAAATTGTGAAAAGGAAAAAGGGGAAAATGAAACAGAAAAGGAATAAATAGTTGAAATGAGGGGTCTGTTTTGTGGACTTTTGATTATTACATAGAAAGGTGTAGTGTAGTGTTTGGTAGTGGATGATGGTTTTTGACTACACAGGTCAGGACAGGACAGGACAGGACAGGACAGTTATTTTGCAGAATACGCAGCTGTCCTAAGATTCTCTCTGTTTTCGTTGCCCACTACCACGTTTTGTAAGGTTCAAGGGCTTTTTAATTCTTTTTTTTTTTGGAAATGCCCATCGTCCGAGTCCGGGCCAGGCCCGCAACAGGCCCGTAGGTTGCCGGTTTCGAGAATCGGCACCGTGGCTTTACGGGTCGTTTTCAGGTCTTTTTTTTTTGGTCCCGAAGATCCGGGTCGGGGTCCGAGCCGGGACATGACCGGTCCACGGATCCGGCCTTGGTTTTTGGCGGGTCGGTCAAGGGTCACCAAGCGGTTCGGGCTGCGGCCCGGCCCGTTGACTGATCATGTCCAAATTAGTTGTCTAATGGATTATAAAAAAACTTTTTTCTCCTTAGGGCCACAAACAAGTCGGGCGTTGGTTTTATCGAGTATGATTGACTTTTTTTTTTTAATTGCCCGAGCTCGATTTGTGAGGCTTGAGATCGACTATGTAGCGCTCATTTTGATTTATATGATAGTACCGTGTTCATTTATCTTATTTGCTTGCTTTTTATTATTGCTTGATTTTTTTTATTTAATTTTATTATTGCTTGCATTGAAATTATTCTTATGTGCTGGTATATTGTTATGTGATTGCCCTCATCTTTGTGTTTTTTTATCTTTAATGTTATGTGTATGTCTTGTGGTGATTAATTTTTGTTTGCTAGTTAGATTGTCCGAATTCTTCGTTAGAATCGCGTTGTACTCTTTCGAGCCATGTTTCAAAGCGAGCCTCGAGGTTGATACTTGGCCCAAATTTTCTCGGTTCATTCGGATAAATTTTTCGGCCCTTTTTATTGTATTTTCCAGCCCAAATGAAGTACATATCTTTGGCCTTTTTGTTGAATTTTTCAGGACCAAATTGTGCTAATTTCTTTTGGCCCAAATTTTGTAAGATTATAATGGCCCATTTTGAGTTGAGCCTCTCAGCCCACTTTGAGAAATCTTTTTCTTCTTTTGCGACTGAGTCTTGTCCTCCCCATTAACAGATCGAAATTATGTTGCGATTTTGTGGTGAGATTTTCCTCTCACGTACGCTCGTCTACATAAGACTCGGACGAGGAATTCTTTTCTTCATAAACGTTCGAACTTGTTCTCTGTTCTTCACCTTCACGTAGCAGCAGCCTCGGATTTAAAAAATAAAAAATAAAAAAAAAAATCTTGTCATTGTTTCCAGCGACCACCACGCCCTCATCAGCAAGCAGCCACCATCCACGGGCAGCCGCAGCAGAGCCGTCACTACAGCTCCGTCCACCATTGATTCCGACGATCACCTCCGGCTGCCCCGTACGCACACCGAGACCTTCATCAGTGTTCCCGTACGTCCAGTCGTGCCGTCGAGAACCAGCAGCCACCAGTTGCCGTGTTCGAAAGTTTCGAGTTTCGAGGCTCCTTTCATCCCTTTGTTCGTTCGTTTTTCTATCGATCACGTAGATTCAGGGGCGGATCCACAAAAAAAGTTTGGGAGGGGCCAAAGCAATTAATTGGAATCGGATTGTGTTTTTTCAACTTGTGATAGTTTGATCTCATATCATTCATATATTTATATTTAAATGAGTCAAGCTAGAAAGAGTATTCAAATTTTTATTAAAAAAATCGACTAGATTGAAGCTTAAACATGAGGTATTCAACATGACTCGGCACGGATAACATTTATAGGGCAATTATATATAGTATCTCTCTCACACACAAACATATATGTAGCCGCAAATTGCATTTTAAAATGTATAAAATAATTAATACGTTGCACTATGCATTTTAAAATGGATAAAATAATTAATAAGTTGCACTACAAAATACATAACTTCTTATTTTGGTAGTTTAAATTTTCAACATTCTTTATACTTACAAAACTCATTGATTATTGGCTCAATATATTACATAAATGCTATGATTGGTAGGTTATCTAATTGTTAGACAGATATATTTTCTTACTAAAAATGCATTGTGATAATATGAAAAATGTCATACTTTTATTTGTCTGTAAAATATGACATTCAAGTATGAAAGTATAAATATATTTGTTGGAAGAGTGTAGTTGTCTAACTATTAAATAGCCAAGAGAATGTCTGTTGTATTAATAGTTCTAACAATTCTATTTCGAAAGGTAACAATGGCCCCCCTTAAGCCAATGTAAATCTGCCCCTGCGTAGATTCCCTAAGAAAGGTAATCGGTCGAACCTTATTCAGTTTATTTCAGCGTGCCAGTGATTTTTTGTTGGTTATCGTGCGTTGATTCGAGCTTCATTGGTTAATAGGTTCGTATTATATTCGTTGTGTTGTTTTGTTGTGAATTTTCGTGGATAATCAAAACTCTCGTGTTGCCCCTCGTTTTGTTATAATCGAACTCTTTGTTACTGTGATTTATTTCTTATATAAATTGGAGCCTCGTCGTATTTTTTTTAAGTCGAACCGTCGTCGTTTTGTCGTTCGTATATTTTTTAGCCGTGTTTTGTTGTTTTATTTTTCGAACCATAAGCCTGGTTTTCAAGTTAATTTTCAAACTTTGAGAATTGGTTTTGTTTCTGGAAATTTTTAAACTTTTTCGAACCTTCGTCGTTCTCGAAATCGTCGATTTTGCTGTCGACGGAGGATTCTCTGTTGTCCGTCCTCAGCCAGGATCGCTTGCTCTTGTTCCACGTTCAAGGCTAACCCATCAACTTTCGCGCAACCCAATAGTCAACAGGCCAGTCGTGGCTTGTGTGCAGTCCAGGAGCCCTATTCGCGCGGCCCAGGAGGTTGTGGTACAACACATTTCGCGCGGCCCATCAGTGTTGAGGAGGGAAAACACACGGGCCGTGTTCAGCTCGCGAGGCCTGTTTTCTCTCTTCAGTTTCAGCCCGCGAGGGGCCCGCTAGTCCCTGTAGCAGGCCTTATGCGCGGCCCATTTTGCGCGTAGCCTCGGCCCAAATTGCGCATCAGGCCCTTTGTCTGCGGGAATGGCCCATTAGCAGCAGTGGACTTTTTCCCAAGACAACCCAGTGATGTTATTTGTGTGTCGGGGGCTTGTTTTTTCGTGTCGAACCCATTTTTAATAATTATAATAAAATGGAAAAAAATCATGGAAATTTTATTTTAACCGCTACCCATTTTCTTTTCCCGAGTCTTTTTCTTGTAAAATTTTTTAGAGTTCCAAGTCTGCGAAAAATCCAATAAAAATTCTTAATCCTTAACTTTGGTTAAGTGTGGGTTTTATTAATTTTCGAGTAGTGAGATAGATTATTGATATATTATCTCGCTTAAATGTAGGTTTTGAGGAATCGAGCCTCACCGACCTACCGAACTATCTGTGTGCTTATTTCTGCCTTGTCGATCAGGTGGATGTTGATAAAACTTTATCATGTATGTTATTTTAAATAATTGTTTTGGCTCCATTGATGGGATGCCGACGTTCTCCTGTTTGTACCTAATGAGAGTGTATCTTCCATTAATGTTGATGACGACAATTTAGCTCCTGTTGATGGTTGTGTCGACGGTTTAGATGTGTACACACGAGCGTAGGGTGGTATAGGAGGTAGACTAGATGATTTGTGTTCATGCTGCGATTATAATTTTATGTCATTATAATGAATAGACTGTATGGTATACCCACGGTGACCTAGTTGGTTTGCTCACCCCCATTATTTCTCCCTTTCAGGTTGAACTGGTGGTAGTGGAAAAAGACAGACGAGTGGGGTCGTATTTGCTTGTTATTTATGAACTGTGTATTCTTTCGCCTTATTATTATTTTTATGTCAGATTTATACGATTGTTTTGGGTATTGACTTGGATTATGAATTGGATTAATATGCATGTTTTGGATTCTGATATGGAATTGATGATACTGATATGAGTTTGAGTTTATTGATGAGCATGCTATATCTGTATGGTTTTGAAAACTTTGTTAAGTGTAATTTGGGATGATTTATTCCCCAACAACTTGAATTGGAACTTAAGCTAATGAATCGAATTGAAATTGAGTAAAGTCCGTTAAACGTTTTTAAATTGTTAATTGATTTCCGAAAATTTAACGGGGCGTTACAGTGTGGTATCAGAGCAGGTCTACGTTTCTGTAGACTGTTTTTTGAAAATTATCTAAGTGTTTAATGTTAATGACCCCTCGCTTTCGCCAAGCCAGCTCAAGGTATGAATGAATTGCTATTTATTTGGCAAAATTTCACTCCAAGGTTTGAATTTTTAGTCAATGTGTCAAATTAAAAGTTGAAGTTTTTGGAACTACAACAGTATTGCTTACTGAGTTGTTGAAACACCATGTCAGATCGCTCCCAACAGAAGATTTTTTTTTTTTTTTTTTTTTTNNTTTTTTTGTTAATGCGGATTAGCATTTGCTTTTGTCAATCTTCAACTAACTGTCTTCAGTTAAGATAGACAGTTAAGATATATTGCGTATTTTCACATGTTCCTAAAAAGTCCGTACTATATATTCTTTTTAAATGAAAAATAAGACTGAATCAAGGACTGGATAGTGAATTATTATAAAATGAAAACACAATAAAGCTCAAGTCAATTGTGGATAGCAGTAGCCAGTAAGCATTTTTACATTGCCATGTGAAGAAAGGACCACGGATCTGGCCATCTGGGCTACACCCTGTAAAAGAACAGGCCTAATAATGCAATACAAGGACGATGTGCATTTAGGGCTGCACACGAATCGATCAGCTCGTGAGCAGCTCAATATAAATATTAACCTACTAAAATACCCTTTGTATATATATATATATGTATATATATATCATAATATTAATATATGTACTTAATTGTAATTCTACATATTATTTGAAAATTTCGAACCGAACTCAAGCCGAGCTCGAGCATTTTGAATTTGAGCCGAGCTTGAGCTCAAGCTCGAACAGCTAAGAAAAAAAAAAAGAAAAAAATAATCTTGCTCGATTAGATGAAGCGTAAAAATTAAAATAAACCTAAAGGGTAAAAAGGTCAAAAACAAATCAATCTAGAGGGTACAACAAAGTCGGTGCATATGGCAAATAGATACGAGGATATTTCAGGACCTATTTTTGCACATTTTTAATTGGGAAAAAAAAAATTGTGTCTTTCTTACTAATTTTTAATTTGTATCTCTCTTACTAATAACTATTAGGATAACTAATCCAATTTATCATCACATAGTTTCTTATCTTTATTTTTTTAATAGTCACTATAGATCTAAGCAGAGAGAATTAGCTTGAGCAATGAGAAACATAACAGCAACAAATACAAAATAAAGTTCTAATAATAATCCAATAGTCATGTAACAAAATCTCAACCAAAGATTTTGATTCCCAAAAACTAACAAGTACCATGTTCAGTTCAATCAACGAAAAATAGAAACTCCTCTCGAAATGTCCAAAACTAGCACCTTATGGCTCGTTCGACAAACAGACAAGTGCCAAATAGAAAAGGGATAACAAGATTAACGATACCGACGAAGGGAAAGTGTCTGATTCCTCTTCCAAGTGGCCCTCCTCGATGGACGAGCTTTGTGGTGCAAATGGCCCCTTCCTCTGAGACCTCTGTATTTCTTTCCAGCAGATGTAAGCCCTCTAAGCTCCCTATGCTTCTGAACCGGGTTGCAGATCCAGTTGATCCTTGGATCATTTCGGATAGTGGTGTGGGCTGGGTCAATCAGGATCACCTCAAAGTATTTGTAAGTTGAATCCTGCAAAAGTTTACAGCTTTTTACTATTGAAATAATATTTCGGTACTAAACCCCACTAGAGAGATTCATGAAAATATATTGAAACTCAAGACTTGTGCAGAAGCATAAATAAGCACACAAACAAACCTCATTGATCCAATAAGAGTTGAGAACCCTTAAACCACCCAATTTCCTTCCGGCACGTTCCTCAGCAACGGACCTCTTGCTGCGCTGAAATTTGAGCTGAGTAACTCCCTGGTTGGTTGGTTTACCATACACAATACCCTTGGGCACAGGCCTCTTCCTTCCACCACGCCTAACACGAACACGGTAGATCACATATCCCTGAAGATAAAAGAATTCTTTAGGCAACAAAAACATCATCAATAATGAAAAGGGGAAGATGTGATATCAAGGCGAGTGAGCTCTGTGTTTCTGCATTACATTAAAAGATGAATCTTGATATTTTATTAGAATAGTGCAATTTAATCAAATGGAGGCGGATGTTGTGGGTTTCTGCCTAACCGCCAGCCACCATTGTTTTCAAATGGTTTTTGGCCTGCTGAAAGTATGAATTAAAGATCGTATAGAGAAGATTCTCTAACACGGAAGAAGACTGCTCATGAAAAGATTACCAAAAGGAATCATCATTCAGTGAAAAGATATTCAAACACCATCGTGGTCACCTCGAAACATACTATTCAAGTACTAAATGTGACAATCACATAATCAGCAACACTATTCATAACTAAAGGCTTAAAGCAGATATAAAAGAGTGACAGCTACCGCCTACCAGACCTTCACCAAAATGCTTAAATAAAACTAAAAGGTAAAATTCAAAAAATCTTGTTATTATTTCTCGTCATGATTACACGAGATTATTCAATACTCCTGAATTTGGAGAATCAACCTTGACCGATATCCGATATCTGAGACTTAAGCTGAACAAATCATATATAATGGGCCTAAGAAATTCTGACTTACGTTGTAATGGTATAAAAACATTATTTTCCTTCACAGACCGGATCAAACAACAACAACAACAACAACAACATACCAAGTATATTCCCAACTGGTTGGGGTCTGAGGGGTCAGTTGTACACAAATCTTACCGTCTGTAATTATAATAAGCAAATGGGACTAGAGAGTGGGCATAACCCTGATCAAATCATAAAAATTGCCTTTTACAGGGATACAATGAACATTGAACAAAATATAATTGTATCTAAATTGTAACTCAAGAACAACCTATCCGAGCTACAGATAAGCTGCAAGGGGAAAATTGTAAACACAAGAACCTCGTATTGGGGGCAAAACTAAAATTTTAAGCAATTCACAAGAAAATTAGGCATAATAGCACGGCGATCGTTATTCCACAGATCAAAAACCTGACAACGCTCAAGAATCAACAGATATATATACCTGCTTGGCCTTGTACCCGAGCCGGCGGGCCTTGTCGGGCCGGGTTGGGTGGGTGACCCGTACAACAGCGGGAAGCTGGCGGTACTCCCAGCAGCGAACCCTAAGCACGAACCGCATCACATCGGATTGCTTCTTCTTCCATAGCTCCGAAACGTAGGTGTAGGCACCTGCGAGCAACAGACATAAAATTAGTGAAAATGTGCAAATTCTAAACAGAAATGGGATCAGAGTTTGGCTGAATTGTTGAGAAGAAAGGGTTTTTACCCATGTTTTTTCGCCACCGCACTCGAAGAATTGCAGGATGAAATGAAGCACGCGTTTTATGCAACTTGAAGTGAACTAGGGTTTGGGAGAATAGGATGAGTTGATTTGGGCCTACATAATGTTGGGCTATGATATTTTGGGCTTCTTCGCTCATAAATTTTAGGCCCGATGTACGAGTTATTTGAGCATTAAATATTTTCATATTTAAATAAATGAATAACTTATTTCATTACTTGTTTGCATATTTTTATATATCATTATTAGTTTAATCGATTTTCTACTTCATTAATAAACGAAATGTATAAAAAACTTGTACGCCTTTATTGAATAACATTTCTTTTTCTTTGTTTATGAAGTAAAAAAAATTTAAAAACAATTAATAAAACATAACTTTGATCATTTGAGAGACAAAAGTGTATGTCGGGCATACGAGCGGTGGTTGACTTGAAGGTTTATGTGAGATGATTGACATACGTCTAATATCATATACACGGAAGATTTTCACAAATTAATAATTAATCTTTTTTTTTATATATAAGTATAATCATATTGACATATAGAGGAAGAATATTTCCTGTTCCAAAGCCTTGTTTCATTTATTAGATATATATTTTTTTTGGTACAGGGACCTTCTGGTTTCCGGATTCACAGGGGAACCGACTAATCTGAAATCGAGTCGGGTAGGACCACAAGGGCGACAAAGCTCTCCCTCAAGAGTTTTTAACACTGCTGCATGTGTTAGATAATTGATACATGTGTAACGTCTTTGTAAATACATGTAATAGTCATCCAATAGAATGTGATATAGCATAAAGAGCTCGGTCTTGAACCGGAGCCCTATAGTAAGACGCAAGCCCCTCCTCGGGCGGATTCCTCCTTTTGCTCCTCAGCCTACGGGGTATTAGCAGCCGTTTCCAGCTGTTGCTTCGTTCTTTGAGTCTCACTTCTTCTCCTCGGATTTTAGTCGAGACTCACTTTGTTCTCCTTATTTATTATTGAAAAGGCCCCAACCTTAAGAGTGGGCTACGCTAAACCTTTAGTTTGATTGCAGGGGCGCGATAACTTACTCAAGCTCGTACGTCACGCCAGCAAGACAAAGAAATTCCGACAAGAGATGAATGCGCTGCGCACAGGGTTCTAGATCAGAGTTTCCTTAGCTCGACTTAGAAGCAATAGGATGGATGATAGGCCGAGGTGGGTCCCTGGGAGCTGGAGATCGAGTTATCGACCTGGGGTCTAGGCTACCTGAGTCCGCGAGCTGGTACTAGACGGGCGTAGGTTTCTGAGGGCGGACCCTCAATTGAGAAGGCGATCTTGCAAACAGATAGGAACAATGATCGTGGGACATTTAATATAGATATGATTGCAGAGATTTGAAGGATTTGGGAGATACATAAACAATTAATTAGCTAAATACATATATGGATGTCTAGTTTCCTTGGAAGGGTACTAGAGTTCTTGTAATGCAATGTAACTATTTTCTTATTGAAATATATGTATGATTATATTGTCATACATATATTATACACTAAAGTGAACTTGTTATGTCGAAGATTTACTTACAGTCGGAGATTTACTTACGCATGTATCATACATAGAATGGAAAAACTCGTTGACCACGGGTCTGGGCCCGACACAGATTTCAAACGGGTTGGTCAAGGGTCATGTTTTTTTCAACTTTGACCTGGCGGGCCGGTCCGAGTCCGGGCGGGTCCGTGTCGACACGGAAAATACATTGTTTTTAATTTATTTTTTTTATGTGGCTGGGTCCAAACCCGGGTCGAGGCCGACACGACACGACCCTAGATCCGTGTCGGTTCAGGATCGTCAAAACCCAATCCGGTGACCCCGGAGGCCAGGCCGACCGTGACCCGACCCGATTTTTAGCCATGTCTACTTCAACACGACTTATTTAATAGATCTCATCCAAATGAAACATGATTTTGAAATCTCGTGCGATTCACGAGTAGT